CAAGAGAAAATGAGGTAAGAGAAGGAATCCCTGGTACTGCGTTCTTAACCCATCATATCAGCCCTTCGTTCTATTTTTAGAAAAAGAGCTATTTTTAGAAATGGAACATGATTGGTCAGATCGTCAGATCCTTTCGTGTTGAATCTACAAATGTAAATTATGCGTTTTATAAATTATCTATTCCAGGTTAAATATTACTGCTCGAGAGGTCAGAGAATTCAAAGGTCAGATTGTCGATCTAATTTCATGTCACATTACCTTCAGAAGCTGATTCTTCTTCGACACTTTCAAGTTTTCTTTGTTTTGAAGAAGATTCCTTTTCTTCTTCAAGAAGTTTCCTTTTTAAAAGCGAATTTCGTAGCTTTAATTTTCTCGAACAGTATTTGACATTCAGTTTTTGGCGATGAAAAATAGCCGATATCAAATTCCGATAAACGAGTAGTGGTCGCGCGGGCTTGGTAACAAACTAAAAATAGCTCTTTTTCTAAAAATAGAACGAAGGGCTGATATGATGGGTACCAGGGATTCCTTCTCTTACCTCATTTTCTCTTGTCCATGTAGGACAATTAAATGTAATTCTGTTCTCTTATTTTCACACAGCTCAAAACTTCTGAAAGATCGAAGTAGAACGTAAAAAGCCAAACAGTGGGTAGTTACTATTCGCGACCACAAAAGCTTTAAAACAACCACACGGCTGCATTTTTTGGTAACTTGTTTTAATCACCAACGCTGCGTCTTCTTGGTAAGATACAAATAAGCCAACGGCAACTGAAGTGTAAAAACAGTTTTCTTGCTTCGCCAATAGAGCCAGACACAAGAGCTACATTAAGATGAATAACTCTTTACTGATACCAAGCAACGTTACTAACAACAGCTCAGGATATTATTGCAAGTACGATGAACCTGACACACAGCTAGAGTATAATGCAAAACGCATCGCTGTGATAYTGTTGATKACATTGGGACTTGCAGGAAACATCTTTGTCATAGTACTCGCTATGAAATACACAGTACGCAAGACCCTGCATCATTTGATCTTCAACATGGCCGTGTCAGATTCTCTCTTCATTCTTATGATGATTCTGATAGATAGGATAAGGATTGTTATCCTTGGTGATATTCTCTGCAAGGCTGAGATTTTTCTTTACTATGTCTCATATAGAGTCTCCTTGGTTACTCTTTTGATAATCAGCATCGAACGATTCAGAGCAACAAGAAGAACATTGCAAAGGTCACGTGCTCACACATTAAAACAACGCGTTGCAGTAATCGGTATCTCCTGGTTGATTCCTATGACATTGGAGTCTTACAGTTTGTATTACTATACATTTGATCCAGAATTGGGGTTTTGTACTATTATGGAGTATAAAGTCTATGAAAAGTTTACTTCGATCTCTTTTTGTTTGAACATTATTTTTACGATTGTAATATTCGCACTTAGTATTTCAACAATAAGACGACTGTCAAGACCTCTTGCCATTCACGCCCATTTCCACCAAGAACAGAGAAAAGCTCGAGCTCGTCGAACACAAGCAGCCGTACGAATGGTTCTTGCATCCGTAATGCTGTATACGTGTTGTTGGCTTTCATGGTTTATTGTGGATGGTGTTTTTATGAGCATGCTTGTTTGGGGTAATATCTGGATTCTCCCAGACTGTATTGACGTCGAGTCACTTTTGTTTATCATCGGTACATTCTTCCCTATTTTCAACAGTTGTTTCAGTCCGTTTATTTATATCATATTTCTGTCTGACTTTCAAGAAGGAGCAAGGAAGGTACTGTGTAGAAAAACCGACAGAAACGAGAAMAGAAGAAACTCAATGGAACTGAGACAATTAAATGCCAAATAATCCGCCATTCTATCACATGACCGGAAGTCAGGGGATCCCATGAGATAGCACAGCGCAAGCGCACGTCATTGCACGATTTGCGTTCACCGCGTTACGTTCTTCTTTATCAAGCTACAGTAAAATACTTTGGATTAGATTAACTACGTTAGTCTATCAAGAAAATCCAAACTTTACAGTATCAACGTAGTTGGTACTAGAGCAGTGATTTGTTTAATTCTAACGCAGTTAGAGTTACTTAGTGGACAATGACAATTCACATAGTCGAGAACGAGGAGAGTACACCGGCCGGGGGCAATACAACTCCCGATATAACTACAATGTTTGGCGCCCTCCTGGAGCAAATGAAAACGATGAACGAAAACTTCTCTTCTTTCTGTTCGCCAGGAGAAGAAGAAGAGGAGGAGGAGAAAGGGAGTAAGACTGACGCTCAAGATGGCGATCATGACACCCGTTTAAGAGAGCTCCTCTCAAAGAGCTCCACTGATAGCCCCGGCGAAGGGCAAAGTAGCGATGTTCTTAAAGACACTGCTCAAGATCTCAGTCTTAACGAAAAGACTGGCCCTCCTATATCAAAGGAGTTGACAGACATTTTCACAGGCCTCATCGCGAAGAAAATGGACGAAACAAAGCTAAAAGAAAAAATGGATCAGCCATTAATCCGCCATTAGAGCCTGAGAGATCAGAAGAAGATATTCCAATGACGAAGAAGAGCAACAAGTCTAAAATATAACTAGTGACGTGTTTGTCAAGCAATAGACGGAAATCCTGAGATTAACGATGTTGATATTCAAGAACATGATAAAACTGTTAACGAAGTAATTGTAGAACGCAAAAAGGTAACGTTATAAACACCATTGGCCATGCAAACGGAACGTGAATATGCAAAACGGCAGAACTTGAAACTCGGCGCTTTTGAATGAGATCGTCGTGCGGTGTCTAACTTCAGGAATTACATATGAACGTAGAAACTGGATAAACATTTGTAGAACTGAGAAAGCTTGCTGTACATTACCCAACAGAAAATAGTTAGTGAAACATTACTGATTGGACAAGACTTTGATAATTGCAGAATGATTTCACGGTGTGCACTGTGTGCTACCGAAGAAGACAACTGTTAAACAGGAATAGACCGTGTTGATCAGAATCGACATATATCAATATATAATTGAAACGGAGTGTCTAAACGTCAGGCAGTCGGGTTTTTTTTGTTTTTTTTGTTTTTGTTTTTGTTTTTGTAAAAAAAATCGTCGGAACAACTTTACAATACAACAAGGGAAATGCAATAAAGACCGAAATAATACTCTTCGACAAGTTTCAAACACAAGCACGGCACTTTGAGATTTTTCGACTCCCTGACGTAGACGCTCCAAATTTGAAAACGTTGTAAACTTAATACTGCACTCTAATAAGACCGAAGTACATTGTTGTTGTAAAATGACAATTCTAAATGTGAATGCTTTACACTGAATTTTTTGACTATAGGAGATTGTGTAGTCCTGAAACTTTTTACAACGTCCCTAGAACAGCCAACAATGCATTCGGTCTTGGAAAACACTATCTTCAGTATGTAACGTTTACTGAAATTGCAGTTTAAGTCAAAGAAACAATCACGCTATCCCTACAGATTACTAAGCTCACAGAGACTCGTAGTGATAGCTAGGATGATAATAGATATCAGCAGTATAAAAACAACCAAAAAAGTATAAAATATGATCGAGAAATGGAAAA